TGGCTCAATGTGTACACAGTATTTCGTAATTCACATTCGAAAATTAAATCTGATTTTCGTCATTTCAGTGAAGATTGAGTGAGCGAGTATAAGAGGCTCTCAGCCACAAATGAAACCATAGTCATTTGACTTTAGACCATATGCGTTTGTGGTCTTTGTTTGATATTTATCGTTGTCGTACACACATCAAAACCCCATTTGGATTTTAATTATGCAAAGTGCTGGTGATTTTTTCATGTTCCATGTATGTGCAAGTGCATACAGGCATTCCACATTTTTTCATTTCGAAATGGGTACTCATGATATCGCGACTGAAATGAAACCATGAATAATCCAAATAAAAAATCACAATCGAAATTATTTTTTCCTTTCTTCGGATCCTGTGTGTGAATTTTCCTTCTATATTGATTTAAAGTAACCTCAGATACAGACGTGTGCAAGGGGGGGTTTTCCGGTTTTACCCCCCATCTAGGATTTGAAAATGTGAAACCCCCATCGAGCGATAAGGAAAATTTTACACTAGATAGAATCGATTTTCAAAACACATCGAAAAGATAGTGATAGCGTTAGGCGGCGGCGTGCAAAGGAAATTTGCCGCCCGAAGCAAATTGCCGCCCCAACATCAAAATTTGAAGAGCAAAAAAAGGTCATCACTTTTAAAAATCAATTCTATCTAGTGCAAACTCCAATTTTGCGAAGATGCCGCCCAAAGTCTAAATTTGAAGAGTAAAACAAAAGGTCATCACTTTTAAAACTCAATTCTATCTAGTGCAAACTCCAATTTTACCAATTTTTCCGCCCTCAAAAAAATGCCGCCCGAAACAATTGCTTCGCCAGCGTCGTGCTTTGCACGCTACCGGCCGTTAAGTCTTCTCTATTCTTTATGACAATCACTTCGCAATTAATCGGTTTCGGTTGACGCATTATCATGACTGACACTCAACTGATACTGTTACTTTGATCCAAGGTCAGTTTCGAACTATTCAAAATCCAGTTCAATCACATCACCAGGCAAACGTCATTAGCCGATTTTTTTTCCCACAGATCGAGTTCTTTGATAAATACTTTTTGTGCACATACACGACGACAAAAAAAATGGTTCCACTTTATAAATTTCGATATCTCATCATTTCGGGTGTTTATTCTCCCATTGAAGTTGCGATCGGGTGCCTGATATCATCACATCAGTGATACGTAATTCAAATGATGTATATCGGTTCAAGTTGTATTTGATCCGCACTAGACGAATAAAAAATGTACATATTTTGTGTATAAATGCGTACGTGTGTGGCGTCACACATTCTTTTTGTGTTTTTTCTGATGACTAAATGAAAAATGAGTGTGTAAATTGAAAGCAGACGCTAGACTATGATGGTTAATTAGCGAGTCGGCATATTTCTAACAGCAGCTCTATCATCCGTCTACATTGCGAATAGTTTCAGTATTAGCCATATTTCACGCTCCATGAATTTGATGCGTAAACAATTATAAAGTCGGCTGCTAAATTGAAATATTTGAATCGCATACGCTGGCGCACATGCATCTGTAGCAATTACAAAAGAAAAAACTTGACAACACGGTACTTATGGCCGACGTGTTTTCGTTCTCTTGCCCATATCGATTATGTATGTGTACGTTGGATTGTTGCTGACGAGAAATATACAGTATGACGATAAAATGCTATTTTTTGTGATTCGTGATGAAACATTTGCACTAGATGTTTATACAACAACAACAAAACCCGAGACCCGTTTGTGCAAGCCAGCGAGCGAGCGCGAGAGAGAATGAGAATGTTTCTTTTGTTTTGTTATTTACTTAAATGGTTTTGTTTGTCACATTGATCCTATTGCGACTGGATGCCACTGCAACTACATGCAATGCGCGAGATGAAAACGAGAATGAGAATGAGAATGAATTGGAAACAGAAAACAGAAACAGCAAATAACGAAACAAATATATAGCTGCAAAATTGCAAAGGCATCGACCGGTCGTCCGACACTTTGTCACTAGGTTAAGGTGAAGGTCATATCTAGGAAATTCTGAGCGCGCACAAAAACACGCCCGCTATCGAAATGACACGTCAAACGCGTTAACATTCGGTACGATCACCAACACTCTCGGCGTTCGATCGTCTGGCCGTGTTAAGCGAATGTGTTCATTCACATTTCAAGCGGGCTTTCGGTGTGGTCGAGAGCTTTGGTTGTGAGCCAAGCCATATTTCATTTTCATTCAAATTGAAAGTGAAAACACTGCTTGCTCTATGTACCGGATCGGAATCGTTGCGGAAGAAACGTTGACAAAAGTCTGGGAGCGATGGAGAACAAAAAAAAAACAACAACAACAACAACAACGAGAGCAGACATTTACCTCAATTCATCCGGTTGTTGGATTGCGTTTTTGTTGCACTTGAAAAATACCGTGTCTCGACACATGCAACTGCATGTGTGGGAATTCTATCGAATGTGTGCCACTTTTTTTCTTCATTCTCTGCTCCAAATGCCAACACACGAAGCAAAAGAGCAGAAAATGCTATGTGCAACGAGAGAGTGTGCAAAAAAAGCGTGGTCGTGAATGAACCAGAACACATCAGTAAATAAAACATTCAACATTCGCACATCAAGTCGACGGGGTATATAGTTCAAATGTGGTGCAGCGCAGAGAAAAAAACGAGGCTTCGAAATAAAAAGCGCAAAGGTAGAATTGAGTACATTTCGATGGGAAATGCATCTGCTGATGCATAAAGCACACACCATGGCAAAAAGTCTGTGCACAACCTTTTTTTTTGTTCACTCATTCGCTTCACATCTTATGTATACAAGTTTTTTTTTACCACGCTGTTGTTGCGTTCGATGGCATTGCAACGCTAGAATCGGAATCTTCACGCACCACAAAATGCAATCCGAAAACATACGTGGTGGCATGATTCGTGTCGCGAGATATGCGAAAGCATCGAGGATGAGTGTGAAATGTGTGTGTGAGTGTGTGTGAGAGAAAGAAAAAAACAGCCAACATCAGCCGCAACACACAATCTGAATGCAGTGAAAGTTGATGGCATGGCGAAAGCGACGTCAATGAAATCGGCTGCTAGACTCTACTGAATAATGTCTCATTGAAACGAGTCACTGGAACAGCAGCAACAACAACAACAACGGCACCACCATCTCTCGACGCGCTTCTTTTTTTTCACTCTCTCCCGGCTGCTCTCTTTCCGTGTGTATTCAACTTTTTGCATCCGGTTTCTTGTACACACCGAAACCATCGCCAATGTTCGGCCATATGTGTACATGGATTTTCGCTTCACTCGCTTTTTTTGCTCACAGTAAATTTTCCTCGCACCGATTATGATATCACATATGCGCACCCCTATAGCCATCACCACCATCGCCGCCGCCGACGCTGTCGAGTCGAGTGCTCGACTTTTTCTCTTGCTTTTTATTTTCGGCGAGTGTGTGCAAGCTTGTGCAAATCGTCAGTCGGTGCATCGTCTGCTTCCACTTTATGTACACAAAGCAAGCGGCGGAGCTTTTTCTCTCTCTTTTTTTGTGTGTGTTCAGAAAAGTAAAACGTCTCGACTGCATTATGTACTTGACGATGCCATTGAAAAACTTTGTTTTTTTTCCTCTCTCTCTCCCTCTCTGTTTCTCTTCGTTTTGCATTGGCTTTTTTGTGCTTATGAAAATTCTCTTTGTCTCGTGTTCTTTGACATTCACTCGCTAGACACATAAAAATACGGTACACAAACCAATGCACTACTACTCCAAGCTCAAGCCATTTTTTTTCTCTCTCCTATCATGTTTGTGTCTCTGTTTACTACAGATGCTGTTTTTTTTTCTCGTTATGCCATTCTCTGAATACTCGCACTGTTTTTGCATCACTGGTTGGTTTTGAATGACGCATTCATTTACGCTCATTGCAAATGAATAAAATACCTTTTACACAGACTTGATTCAGATGACATATTCAAATGTTCTATGAACAACATGAATTATGCAACCACTATTCTCAACTGATTATTTTATACCACACAGCATGGCATTTACATTTTGTAAACAGAGACGACTTTTTGTTCCATTTGTAAAATACGTCATGTTCAATGTGGAAGACGAGCGCAAAAAAACCCCAAATGATTCTGCACTTGAAGTTTTCAATGTGAACTATCTTGTTTTGTCACTGAAATCGATATGTTAACGGTGACCGCGAGAGCGTCTAACGAATCAGACTCGTTAAAATGATTTTCGTTGACGTAGTGCTGGATACGCATGTGATCACCTTCACCTACTTGTTTCAGTTGATGTGTTTGTTTCTCTTTCCTCTCTATCTTCATTTTGTTTAAATTATGCAAATTCGGTCCGGTAGCGTACACATTTATTTTGGTGCTCCGCCAAAGACGGATGGACAAAACTCTTCTTCATTCATAGACATTGGTCGAAAATAAACGATAGAACGTTAGAATAATACGGAATTCGTGTTGAGTCATTTGCGTTGGGCACACAAGCTATTGAGATAGGTCAGGTTGAGCCGCGTTTGCTCAAGTGACCGCACGTACAAATGACACGGCGAACCGATAGACAAAGAAGAACGCAAAATTTGTGTGTCTGTGAGTGAATGAGTGAGTGTATGATACGTACTTATGCGATAATTCCCAATACGCGTTACTCGAGCAAAAATGATGGAGAACCAATTTGGCGTATGGGTTTTATCACACAATTTGTTACTCATTGAATAAATTTGCAAGTCAAAGTCAATGATCGGTTTAAATGACGTGTTGTTTTTACTCTTTCTCTCTCTCTCTCTCTCTCTCTCTCTCTCTCTCTCTCTCTCTCGGTCTTTTGTCTCCGACAAATGTAGTAATGAAATTTTAAAGACGTCTACCGATTCTAATGAATGATGGTTAACCGGTTTTCTGCAATTTTTTAGCATACAAATTTCCAACCAATTGATTTATCAACATTCGATCTTGTTATTTATGGTGATTTTTTTTCTTCTTCCTTTTTTTGCAGAACAATTTAAATACAGAAAAGTAAAAGAAATTATCCGCGCTGGAACGAAGGAAATCATTAAAACGAAGAAACATGGTTGACACTCAGCATTTTTGCCTACGATGGAATAATTACCAGAGTAGCATCACATCAGCATTCGAGAATTTGCGCGACGATGAGGATTTCGTCGATGTCACATTAGCCTGTGATGGCCGCAGTTTGAAGGCACATCGTGTCGTTCTATCGGCATGCAGCCCATATTTTCGTGAATTGCTCAAGGTAAGTTATTTTATCCTTGCGAAAATATTTTCGTGCATTTCTTTCGATCCTTTATATTTTCGACGTGATGAGACGCTTAAAAAAGTAGATAACAGAATTTGCTCGAAAATGAGAGAAAAAAGAACGAAAAGACTTCTTCATGAGGTAGAAACAAAAAAACTTGAGACAAAAAAAAAACAACGGAGAATGGGAAACAAGACCGCAGAGCTTTGCTTTGCTCCGCTCTGCGTTCTTGAGTTGTTGGTTACTTAATCTATTTTGTTGTTTCACAACAAACTATTTTTTGGCGCACTACATGAAATGTATTCTATCAAAGTAACTTTGAAGTAATATATTTATTTGCAAAATGAATTACAAGATCTTGGTTTTATTTCTTTTTTGAAATATACTGCCTTTGGTTTAAATTAAATAATTAATATGAGCATAGAATCTAAAATCACTTTAATTCTGGTCAAGACTCAGAAAATATTATACGAAAAACTAATGTAATTTTTAAACAACATTTGATGATAAACATTTGATTGGCGCTTTGAGATATTATGCACTTATTTGTCGTTACTGCCACTGTTTTAAATCAAATAAAAAATATGAGCATACAATACAAATTCACCATAATTAGTTTGAGTAGTCAAAAAGTATCTAGACAAAAAAAAGAGCAGATTAGTAGCTCTACATTTCATGTAGTGCTAAAAAGGCGGTTGGGTGTTCGTTGAAAAGAATTAATTATGATTTCCGCATGATGTTGTGCATTGCGCGCTGCATGAAACGCAACGGTTCAGGTTTCTTCTCGACGTATTTTTGCCAAAAATAATATAATTGCCATTTAATTATATGGTTTTTCTTTTCGCGTCGAAATGAAAGCGGATGTGCAATGATGACGGCGTGCAAGCAACAACAGCAAGCAAATAAAAAGACGTAATGCTTTTTCTATGGAAATATTTAGAACTTAATTATTGGAATGCATTTCATAATTTCTTCTTTTTTTTCCATCGCCGAGACGAACGCAAAATAGCTAAGCCATTTCACTTGAAAACAAACCAAAGAAAAACTCGGTTCTGTTGGATGAACGAGTGTGCGCATATGAATCATTTTGGATTGGATTATAAGCGGTGGCAACTACAGTCTCAGCACTAATTTCACATTGAAATTAAAGATACGCAATAAATTATGAAGTAAGAAATTATAAACATGCAGCGAAAAAAGAAGCGAACGAACGAAGCAACCAACAAAATTATGCCAAAGTAATTTTAGACAAAGTTTTGCTCGTTTTCGAAAAGCGCATAGAAAAGTTCCGTTGCGAACAGTTGGAAAAAATAAAATACACACTCACTCACACGGAGCGGTAGAGAGGGAAAGGGAGGGAGAGAAATAATGGCACAAGAATCAAGTCGCAAACATTGTCATTGTCGCAGTTCTTGTCATCGGCGATGCCAGCCTTAATATCTCTACTCCGTGTTACTCGGTTCGCTTCAGCTCACTATCTCTCTGTCTCTCTCTCTCTTGCTCGTTCGTTCGTTCGTTCTACGTGCCTCGGCTTACATGCAATATGCAACTAATTTTTCTGTACATTTCTGTAAAACATGAATTATATCTACGACGAGGCGAACCATTCACCAAGTGATACCCACCCCAAAATACATCATACACATATATAAACGCCATAATTCGCATGGTGCCGAGCAACCAACCCGTTTTATGGCTGTTTGCTGCTACTTCTCGTTTCGCTTCTTCTTCTTTTCGTGCGGCAAAAAATCTAATTAGTGAAAATATTCCTTACACACTTTTTCTATTCATATATACTTATTCTATTTATTGTCTCTCGGTGTTTTTTTCTCTCTTTCTTTTCGTTATTGCTGTTGCCGCTCGTTTGCTGCTCCTCATTCCGCAAGCATTTTCACTGCAGTCAATTATACGAACATTTTATCATCGTCTCCTCTGTGTAAAGTTTTTGACTAAGCTCAGTCGGTTCCATACACATATACACACACACACACTCACGCTCGCACAACAACCACTTCGTCTCTCCTCGTCTTTTTCGACAGACAAAGTTCAAGGGGTTTTTTTCCCGCAAAATTGTGCACTGAGAAATTAATTGAACATGAAAAATGAAACAACAACATTTTCGCGATGAATTAAAATGTGTACCGCCAGCAACGCAACACCAACTTTTTCCCATATGAAATTGAAAAATGCAAAAGAGAGAGGAAGAGAAACGCGCGGCAATTCGCAATAAATTCATGAAATATGAATATTGCGCATAATAAGTAATTACAATTAATTCTTCCCAAACTGCGAGACACAACCGCAAATAAATTCAAAGTTTTCGAAGAAAGTAACATTCTTTGCACAACACACGATGTGATGGCATTTGAGTTCAATCGTCATCGCAATTAGTGAACATTTGAAATGATGACTAATTTACTCATTTTGTGCTGGTAATAGAGCAAATATCCATGAAATTTGAAGAAAAAATGTTCTTCAGATCGGTTGCCGGCATCAAAACGAGCAGAGCAAGGAGGATAAAAAAAAACGACAAAAAATTTAAAGAAATCGAAAAAAGTTCGCAGAAATGATTTTGCTCGACTGAAACTAATTCTAAGTTGAAAATTCCAGCGAAATCATTCTTTCGTCGAAATTTACAGACGACGAATTCCGTTTATTCTTCAAAATGTTCAAATTATCTTACATTGAAACACATTTTTCTTTAAAATCGCTCATGCGCTACTTCAAGCACTTTTTCTTATCAGCAGTTGCGAAATCATTATTTCGTACCAGATTATGTCATGTGTTTTTTCAATTATTTCCTGTCTCAAATTCGCATGAATCCAATCAAGTTTTGTGGATAAAACACACTTGAAAATTTGATAGTTGTTTTCGCAGTATTTCAAGGCGAATGAAAACGGTGTGTTTTAAAAATAAAATCATACGGAACAAAATCATTGGGCATGGAAAATGGCAGTGTTAAAATTTCGACAACTGTTCCACATAGCGGTGGTCAATTCACCGCTGTGCCAACAATGTTCACCCATAATTACATTGGGATCCATAAATTGGCGGTGTCCGAATTTGATTACGCACATTCGGCAATGTTGTTTAACGTTCGCATTAATCATCGTGATTCAACCGAAAATTCGAAATGTCGACTGTCCAAGTGTGGTAATCGAATGCAATGCCATGGCTCATTGATATTTATAGCGAAGAATGTTTAACGTTCAATGGCAAAATGCAACGACGACGAAAGAAAGAAAAAACAGATTAAATCGAAATTGTCATTTGACTTGTCATAAACATGCACACCATGTGCAGTGTAGTTCGAAAATAAATGCAAATGAAACACATTGGATATATGGTAACAACAAAGTAACTTTTGCAAACGATTCGACTTTTGTGCACTTTGTCGCGCATTCGGTTTTACTTCGCCAATTATTCGTCAATCGTAGGCATTCGCGCATAACGAGTACGGTGCAAGAGTGAAAGAGACCGAGTGAAACGTTGAATTAAGAGAGACCATTTTATAAACGACATGCTTATATTGCATACTAACCCAAATAAAAAAGTGCAGTTCCTCATTGCTTCTTACAATGGAAGGGCAGACTACGAAAGAGAAGTCAGCATTGAGTCGGCTCAAACAAGAATTTGAAGGACTCATAATTTCTCAATTGGCTTAAATGACGTTGTTATCGATGTTATTGTGAGTGAGCTATTTTGCAGCGCGTCTCGCCAGCCAGATTTTGTGTTCATGTTTCATTCGGTGCTCAGCTCAGCGTGTGCGCTGGATATAGTGGGACGAAGGATAAACCAAAGAGCAGAACAGCAAAAATGAAAACAAGATGCACAATCACGTTTAATGCGAGGAAACATAAACAAATTTACTTTGGAAATGCGTGTCCTACTTATTTTTTTTAGCGTCTGGTTTTTTTTCCAGCGCATTGTTTAACGGCAGTCTTTTCCTTTCTCACTCGTTGGTTCGTTGTGTTGAAGTTTGCAACGTTCGCAAGCGAGAAAAAATAGCCATAAACTGCTGTCTAATTTAATGGAAATGGAAGAGAAGGGAAGGAGTGGTAGCACAATAAATGTACTCCAATAGGTTCAATGTTGACGGTCGTTATTCGTTATTGTTGTTCTCCAAATGCACATTTTCACACTTGAAAATGACTTTGAGCGTGGCATTTTTTTTTTGTCTTTCGTTACTTCTCATTTACATTCGCAGATTTTGTAGTTCATAAGAAAACAACGTTGTTTTTTTTTCTTCGATTTTTGCAATGACGCACATTCGATCGTAAATTGATTTTGTTTTCTCTGTTTTTTCTTTGAATTTTCGTAGAGCACACCATGCAAACATCCAGTGATTGTGCTACAAGATGTCGCATTCAACGATTTACATGCATTGGTCGAGTTTATCTATCACGGCGAGGTAAATGTTCATCAACGCTCGCTCAGCTCATTCTTGAAAACGGCCGAGGTACTTAGAGTGTCTGGACTAACACAACAACAGGCTGAAGAAACACACAACGTAAGCACAATTTTTCAAAATAATTGCATCGCATATAGGTGATTCATTTTAACGATTCTGTTTCTCTCTTTTTTTTTGCGACTTGAGCAGCTAGCGCAAATTCAAAGCCTTGGCAATTCTGGCGCCCGCACACCGATCAGCCATCATCCAAGTTTCACAGACAAAATGGTCGAAGATGCTCTATTCCCACAAGGTGTTTCTCCGCCACCACATCTGAACAACTTACACTCGTCAAATGGTAAGGCAACATTCGAACACGGTGTTATGTTACATAATCACGTTGATGAGATCGCAAGTAGTTTAATTGAATTGTATTTTATTAATCTATTCCGTACAGCCCATTCAGGTGCAACCGTGAATCAGCTATTGCGACGTGCAGCAGCTGCAGCTGCATTGCGTCGTGAACGCAATAATTCCAGTCAAGAAGAGCTGTCGTTGAAACGTCAACGGTCCGACAATGGCAACAATAACAGTCCAGATGTCATCAGTCACATGCCACAAGTCACCGCTGCCGATTTTTCCACCATTAAACACAACAACAACAACACGCCTCCCATGAAAGATGCTGAACGCGCCGAAGACTACTCCTCAGAAAGTACGTAGCGAGACTCTTTTCCCTAGTTTTATTGAATTTTTTTTTTTTTTTCAATCAGTTGATAGAAACAAATAAATTTCATGTGACTTTTCATTCGAAGGATTAGAACAGTTCCATGCGAAACTGTTGATTTTTACAAATGAATAACAAAAATTAATTTTTTTACCATAGATCCGAATAACATGAGCAACAACAACGCATCAAATGGCAATGGATTATCGTCATCATCAACTGACAAGGACAGTCTTACACCGTCACCGCCGAATCGTTTGAACGATAACGTCAAATCCGAACCCATGGAACTCGTCTGCAGCAATCACAATCTAGCATCCGATGAACAAAGCAACGACTCGGTCGGTGACCACGACATCAAATACTTGGGCGGCAACGATGGCAAAGGATCACTCAGGTAAATATTTCAAGGAATTTTTGATCATTTTTTTTCTCGTAAATTCTGAGAGAAAAAAATTCGAATGAAAAACGTGGATAATGTGATATATTTCTATTTTGATGCAGCTCAAATAATGACGACGACATTGATAACAGCATACATTCACACACTGCACCGCCATTTTTACTGGGAGAAAATAAACTCTTCTCAACACCGGGCTCATTCAATTTCTCAATGGCTGCACTCGCCGCTGATCCCAACACTCTTGCCGGTAACCATCATTTTGTTCATGGTATTTTTCTTAATCAAATTAATTAATTTCAAGTACATTCACTTCGTTGGAGTGTCTAGTGCACAAATTTTATGAGTTATCATTTCGGTCTTTATTACTTCATTAACGAATTCGATTTTGTTTGTTCTTTCTTTCCACGTTGTTTGTCGTTGCCCATCATAAAGGATTGAATCATTTGCAATCAGCTGCTGAACTTGCCGGATCTCCACAAGGTAAGATTTTTATGTCTTTTTTTTTTATTGATTCAAAGTCGTTTTTTTTTACTTTTATTCATACTATATATTTTCGTTAAAAAAAATGAAAATTAACCAACGCGTCTTACCCCCACACACACTACACTCCAAAATATATTGAGAAAAAAACAAAAAAACAAATATATTCAAATAATTTTTATTAGCAAAAATGTTTTGTACAAAAATCATTCCTCGGCCATTTTCGGTTTAAGTTTTAATTTTAAATTAATTTTTTTTTTGTTCTTCAATTGGAATTTTATTCTTTTTGAGAGTGAATTTTATTGAACAACATTTGATAATTCTTTTATGGGATCATAACACAACAAATTGGTTTTGGTTGGCTTTTGTTTTTTTACACAATTTACACATAACGATGTTGTTATTATTATTATTATTTTTTTTTGGTTAACTATTTTTGTTTTCTTTTACAATGTTTCGCAATTTGACCCATTAAATGGAAGCTTTTTTACCAATAAAAATTATTTTGATATATTTTCCCTGGGTTTGGCTTTCCAATCGATGTTCAATGTTTTAGGTTGTTTTTTTTTCTCTCGACAAACACGAAGTGACGAACAAATCAAACGCAAAACGGTTAATGTAAGAGTAAAAATTGATTGGAAATGAAATGGTTTCGGTGATGAAGAAGAAACTAACAGTAAATTAACAATTGAAAAATATGGTAGAATAAAACGGTGCTTGATTTTTTCGTCATTTCATCTATCTCACCCATTGGAAAGCCAAATCGAAGAGATTATTAATCATCCTTTTACGGATGAATTAAAAAAAACAATATTTAAAAAAATCTATAAAAAAAGGAATAATATCATTATAAAAAAGCAAAGATTTTCGTGAATTGGTTTTTTGTGTGCTAATTTTGTATCGTATATCGTGTCAATTCGTCGTGTATGTGTGTTTAAATTGTGTTCTGCTGCATTATGACCGTAAAACAAATTATATATTTCATTCCAACAAAAAAAACAATGTTTCCGTTTCCTTTTTAATTTCTCATTTTTTTTTATTTTTCGTTCAAAATTTTTTTTTTCATTTTCATTTCCCGTCATTACTGACATCTTTTCATTACTCCATAAATCCAACAAAATTCGAAAGAACAAGAATCAATCAGTCAATTTTCACCATTTTTTATATTTTCTGTTATTATTTCCAACAAGAATTTCATTTGTTTTGTTGTTCTCATCCATTTCACCCCTTCACAAACACAAATACAAGCAAAACGATACCATGCTAATCTTGAAAATTGATTTCTCATTCTTCGTACGTTTTATCCACACACACACACACACACAAACTTCACCACCAACCACCACCTCCCTTAGCCATTTCATTTTATATTTCGTGCTCATTTTCTCACTTTCTCGTTCTTCATTATTGGAATTTATTTTTTGGACATGATTTTTTTTTGTTCCATCTGGCATCTTTTTTTTATTACGTTTCCGTACCGATAATTTTTACAGCCTTTCGTTTGTTTATTGCTTCATTTTCTTTTCGTTTCGAGCGATTTTTTCTTTTATATATTGAGCCAAAAGAAAAAAAACTTATGATTTTCATGCGATCACGATAGTTATTTTCCGAATTTTCCATCACTTCCCACACACACTCTTTAGTTGAACCTTTTATATTGTATTTGGGCCATACCAAAATTTTTCCAAGAAAAACACATACAGATTTTCATGTATACAAAAAAAAAATGCGAGCGTTTGTGTCGTTCATTTGACATTTTTTTTTATTATCTTAATTTTGCATCTCAGTATTTGACATACATGTGTTTTCGTTTGGTTTTCATCCGTTTTTGATTCAATATTCTTTTTTATTTTATCAAATCAAAAACTGTGTTCCGTTTGACTTTTTCATTTCTTATATATATTTTCATTTAAACTTTTCCGAAATTTCATTTGATTATGCCCGAATTAGAACAAAAGCGATTTTTTAAGCGATATACTTACCGAAAAAAAACATTTTTTTTTAAAACTAAAACGTGTTGTTTGTTCCGTTTGATTGACAAAAAACAAAATAATATTTACTATTTGTGTTTTGATTTGATTTTATCCGCATTTTTCTTTTTGGAATTTATAAAAAAAAAACAAATCAAATTTGATGAAATTTGTGTGCCGCTATGATGATTTTTTTCAGAAACTAAATTTCAAATTCTGCAGATAATCATCATTGATTTCATGCAAAACATACGGCATTTTATTTCGTTGAAAAAAAAAACCAAACAAACTGAATTGGCTCCATTCTTCAGCACAAATAACAAATTTTACAATGGTTTTTCTTAAGTTGCTTTTTTCTCTTAAAGCTGATTTTTAAGTGAAAAATAACTCGTAAACAAACGAAAGGAAAAAGAAAATAAACGAAAAAAAAGAACCAAAGGCAAAGAGGTAATATCAAAAAAATTCACCAAACAAAATTTGACAAAAAACAAAAATTTAACAATGGAAAATGAAATAGAACTCTTATATTAACACACACGAAGAAGGAGGAGATGTATTGCATACAAATGTAAAATGAAGAAAAAATCAGACTCATCATCGACTCGGTCAATTGGCTTCAGAATTATTCTGTTTATTTGGAATTCGAAACAAAATAAACAAAACAAAACAAAACAATTCAAACCATCCAAACAATCGAAAGACATAAGAAAAAAAGACAGCGAAAAAAAGAACAAATTACACAATTACATTCGACTTTTTTGTTATTCGTTGAAAAAACATGAAAATTATATGAAAAATAAAAACAAAATTTATGCAGTGAATAATTTTATAAATATATATTTTACAGACAATTTAAAAAAAAAAATCTGTTTGGTTAGAGGTTGCGCTAGGCTCCAAACCATATTTCTTCTACTTCTTTTTCCCTCCAAGACAAAAACAACATATTTTATTCTACATTATTCAGTTTTCGTTTCTCTTCTTCCCCCCAATTTCATTATATTTATTGTTTTTCTCATTTATTTTCCATTTTTATCGTTCAACTCTAAACAAAATTACAAAATAAATATAATTCAATTTATGTTTTCCTTTCACTAATTAGCCCTATTAGCCGCTCTATATCCGTATGACCTCTATTTAGGCCGAAAATTTGCAATTTGATATACACGTTAGTGTTCGATAAGAAGATGAAATGGAACAAAATTGTTAAAAAAAAAATTTAGAAATTTAAGCGCATTCAAAGTGCATTGGTCACAATTGGCATTTGGTTTATTTGGCTCTACACTTAAACACATTGATACAAAGCGTCTATAAAAACAGTATTTTTGGAATAAAGAACTTTTCAAAATTAAAAAAAAGAATATAAATATCAAATTGTTAATTTTATCCAAAACGAAACACAAAATATGTCTCTCTTCTCTTGATGAAGACATCGTTGAAAGAAAACAGCAAAAGAATCAAAAAGTGGAGTCATCTTTCACTAGGGCTATCGGCGGTAGTTAAACTTTCTTATTTCATTCTCTCCCTCTCGTCTTCTTATTTATTACACATATCGACTTAAGAGAAATTGGTTGAGATTGGAGGAACAAGTGAAGAACAATCCAATCGATCGTCGTACACAAAGAAAACAAATGATGAAATGCCATGCATCAAATGCAACGAGAAAGAAGATGAACATGGAAAGGATACATTTAGATAGAAGAAAAAAAATAACACTGTGAGAATTCACAGCAAATGTTTGCCCACACTGCAAACGAATTCACGAATGTCATAATTGCCTGCTTAACTGTTCCAACTTATACACCAAAGACGATTTCATAGCTCATTCTCTCCTAGTTTATTGGCATTTTTCACGAATTTGATTCCCCAAAACAAAACAAAAAAAAAACAAAAAAAGAAACGTAACACATCACATACACACACACATACACACCTGCAAAGCCAGCGACTTAGTTTGTCTTTTGCACTGGGTGGAATATTCAAACAAACACAATTATTCGGCGTCGTGTTTTGACTTCGGATTTCGACTCGAACGAAGAAAATAAAGAAACAAATTAAGTTCATTGTAAATAGGCTAAAACAAAATGGACGCGAAAAAAAAACAATAACGCACTTGTGTAAAGCGTGGAGGAGTACACACAACGCAGGAATTTTGAACGAAACCGATTTCGCATGCTTTTGGAAGAAAGAAAAAAATCGCGATCACAAAATTTCGTTTGTATCAACCAGACAAAAAAGTGATTAATGGTATTAATTTGGCATGGACATCGCGACCATTTTGATTTTGCTTTCAACAGCATCGACGAAATTGGCTCAAAAGACTTAGCACTCAGAATTGAAATTGTTTTTTTGGACGTTCTATTGTTGTTTTCACACATGCTTTGGTGCACTAATGGTTAACGGGAAGCGTTTGTTGACACACATTACAAAACATATTTTTGTTGTTCTGTTTAGGGATGGACTTACACACACATTTTTTTTTAATTACTTTTTTGCATTTTTTTGTTTCGATTAATTTTATTTTATTCGTACATTTTTTTTTATTTGTGACAACCACACACACACACACATACAAAAGCTTCGTTTGATCACATCCTTCAGCGAAAGCTTTTAAAAAAAAACACATGCCAGCAAAAAAAAATAACCGAAATGTTTTTCATCTCTCACTTTTTATGTGTTTCGAAACAAAAAAAAAGCGATTTATCAACACATATTACACACATACATACCTATACAAAACAACACTGATTTAGGGGTTTTTGTTCGATCTGGTTTTTTGATTTAGTCAATTTGATTTTGATGTTTTTTTTTCACACTGGACGAAATTATCATTAATTATATAACATTAGGCAAATTAACCACCAAAATAAAAAAGAAAACAAAATGGTATAAACACACACACAATGGATAAATTGGACAAGAAGAAAATCTATAATTCAATCACATTTTGAGAAAACAAATTTATTTGCAAAAAAAAAAAAAACAAAAAACAAAATTGAGATTTTTGAATTCGAAATTTGAGAGATAAAAAAA